TTGTGAGCTGTTCTGCTGGAGCCATCGCAGGCTTCATCAGGACCTGCTCCCTGGTGTGGCCATGCTCACATGAGCCACTTGCTGTGCTGGGTACCTGTGGTTAGGGTCCTGCTGTACCAATAATAACAGAAAAGAGCCTGTGAATTTGGTTTTGTATTTGCTTAGTAGCTTTAAAACAGCAGAGAGGAACCTAAAGAACCACTTGCTACCTGGAAAAACACTGCATCTTACAGTGTCTTCAAAATGGAGCCTATTTTAAAGCAACACTTCATAAATGCATCTGCTCCAGTTCTGCATTTGTTGGCAGTAGCTGAAGTTCTGCAAGGCTGTGCCTTGGTGTCCAATTGCTTTGCAAGAACTGTGCAATCATACCAGAGCTGTTAGAAAGCATGGTTGCTTTAGTAGAATTGTAACTCAGTATTGTAGCCACTGTTAGGCTTTGTGCTAGGGTTTTTTACTATGGTAACACCAACTGCATTGATTACATTTTTACCCCAGTTAAGAGGTGCTCTTTATTCTAAAGAAGATTTAAGGAGTAGTGTAGCAGTTTTGCTTTGGCTCTGCTGCAGTGTTCATAGTAGAGGTAGCTACTTCTCCCTTCCCCCTGCCTCTGAGCAGGAAATATCATTTAAAAGTTAATTATTAATGATGGTCAAGCTCGGAACAGCCTGTGCTTTTCAAGGTTGTTACAGTCTGTCAGATCTGCCGTGCTTATGAATTTTCTAGGCCTGCTAGCAAAAGAATTGCAATACGCTTGAAAAATCCAGGAAGGTGCAATTAAATGGAATTAGTGAGATATTATCAGAAGTGCCCATTTCACACAATAACGTGTGCGAGGTCGGTATTGAGTTTCTGGAGAGAGAAGCCTGACTGGAAGCTGCAAAGGGTGAAGCACCTCCTGTTTATTTCCAGTTTAGTGAAAGTGGAGAGAAGTCTCCCTGTGCTCCGGAAGGAAATGTGATCACACAGCATTAGGACTCTCAACAAGTGACATGTTCTGTACCATTTTAGTGCTTAATAAATCGATCCCAGGCTGCCCAGTTCTCTTTGCTCCAAACTGGGAGTGAAGAAGCCCTGCACTTGAGACCAGCTGTTTCTCTTAGTTGAAGAGGCTGTCCTCAGGCTTAATGTTAACTGGAGGAGGTATCATGAAACATGGCTGTCCCTCAGCCTGTCCCCATGGGTGGTGACAGGGCTGCAGCACCTGTGAGGCAGCTGGTAAGTGGTGGTGCTGGGGGGCACCCTGCATCAGGGCTAGCAGCCGTGGGGCAGAGGGCCAAGGGGCCATTAAGAGTAGGCAGACTTGGGAGTGCCACAGCAATGGAGCAGTGCAGGGTGCCCCCGGTGCCTCAGGCAGGATAGAGCCCTGCCCACACCTGCTTTGGGGATCTTCCCAGTGTCTGTAGGGTTGGGTTGTAAGCTCAATCACCTAAAGTTCTTGAAACAAAACTTGTTGTAGTAGAGGCTGCCATCGTTTTCCCTCTGTGCTTAAGGTGCTGTAAAAGCGTGTTGTTCATTGGTTTTATGAAGGTACTGACTCTTCTCCAGATAAGACTGAGCCTTAAAGGGAATAAGGGGAGAAGCAGAAGTGTTCAGGGAAGAGGAAGAGGTTAGTTGCCCAGATAATTTTTTTTGAGTAAAACTTGATTTATTTAGTTTTGTCGTCATGACGACATCAAAGGTTGTCCAGGACTGTACAGTTTTATGCAGTGCTTAGTCCTTTTAACTGAGTTACTAAGAAAGTCCTCATGACAGCTTGGTGTCCTTCCTGAGGATCTAACTGGGGATGGTGGCCGGGGCTTGGGGCAGGGGAGTTCAGGCTGCAAGAAACACAGCTCCAAGAAGGTGATTGCCTGCTTTCTGCCCCGCTGCATTCCGCACTTGAGAGCCCTGGCTGGCTTGAGCAGGGTGGGCTCTAGAAGACTGATAGGTGTCTGCATGCCAGAGGGCCCAGGCAGCTGGTGATTTGATAGTTTGGAGTTTGCGGCCGCGTGAGCGGCTGCCTGGCTGCAGCCTGCCTGGCTGGCAGGAGTGTCGGAGCAGCGCTTTAGCTGAGAGGCGTCTCCTCCCGCCTCCTGCCAGCCCTTCCTGGACTGAGGGGGGGTGGTTCTGTGCTCTGACAATTTTGTTCCTTAAGTGTAGGGTAAGTTTTTCGCTACTCCTTCCAAGCTGTTACCCAGATATTTTGCTGTCAACCTGTGCCGTGTGCTCATGCCTGCCAAGAGCTTAGGCAGCAGTAATGTGAGGGCAGCAGGGGAGCAACTCGCAAGGCAGGAACGCTGCTGCTGCTCCGCAGGCCCTTTGCGCAGAGGTCACCCACGGAGGCTCATTCCAGTCGGGGCAGAACTGCTTTGGCTACGGTGCCTGGATCTGTTTCTGTCCAGGAGCTTAGCAATGTGGTCTTGCTGCTGTGTCTGCTTAACGTTTGGATTCATCATCTAAATTGGAACCTGGCTTTGGTGTCACTGCTGTGAGGGTCGCAGTGAGTGAGTGGGTGTGAGAGCTTTGAGGGAGGTGGTTGGTGGGGCTTGGGTTTGTTTTGGTTTTGTTTTGTTTTTCCTGATCCCTGTGTGTTCTCTAATGTACCTTCATGTAAAGCAAAATAGGAATGTAAGTTGTTGAGAAGGGAAGCAGAGGAGAGCTGAATACTAGGAAAGCATGAAAGAACATGGTGTACAGAAAGCAGAGCTGGGATCATCCAAGTTGGAAGAAGCAGTAATTCCAGGGGGAAATGCTTAGTTAACAGGAATGGGACGCTGGGACGATCCGCAGGGAGCTGCGGGAGTCTCAGCTGCTCAAGCTATAAACACTGCAGAAGCCCACAGCAACTTTGGGGTTTGCTTCTGATGGGGTTATTTCTGGAGGGGGAGGACTGAGTGATTTACTTCTGTTGTATACACGTGGGAGAGCTACAAGTGGGGATTTGGGTGAAAAAGCCAGCAGTGATTTCTCTTCCCCCCCCGCCCCATCCAGGAGCTTTGAAAAAATATTTAAAAAATCTTCTTTGGAAATGTTAGTGTCTTTGGAGTAACTGACAAATCTGTCTTCCAATCTGTCTATTTAAGTCTTCCAAATGTAATGCAGGAATTTCAAGCCTGCTTCTGGTAGTTGTGGTATGGCCTTAACTGTAGAGCCCCTATTGAAAGCTCCAGAAATGCCAGGTATGCACAGGCATATGCACGTGCTTGCTCATGAGGGCGAGTTGATTTTTGGCTCTGTAAATAATTGGATCAAGATAAAGAAATTGAGGAAAAGTTAAAGTTATTACAGCAGAGAATCAATCATTGAGTTGAAAATATACTTACATTGCACCTAAGTAAAATGTAAGGACCCTCTCTTTTAATGTTACACTAGTGGGAGAGATTTTTGGCTACTAATGCAAATAGAAGTCAAATATCAGTGTGTTGTTTTTAGAAGTGAACTTAACTTGTTTGTGTTGGGTTGCAAAATAAACACTTGATACTTGAATGAAAATTTTGTTATTTTATTTTCCTAAGGTTTCTACAACTAGAATTCACCAACACTTAACTACATCTTTTTATTCCCAGTATTTTGAGGAGCCTCATTGAGTTAACGTTGTGGTCTCAGGGATTTGATTTAAGGCATACTAGTTTTTTCAGGGTGCTTGGATTTTTTTTTGTAGATTTACCAGGATAAGGTTAAGCAAGGAGAGTTACAAAATCAAAGTTTATCAGCTTAGTAAGGTATCCCCTTGTTCTGCAACATGGTATTTTTCTGATGTTGCACATGCCTAAATAGGCCAGTGCAACATACATCAGATATTATTCAGAACTTCAGGGTTTTGTGGCTATGAGTGAAGTGTGAAGCCAGAGGGTGACTTCAACCTCTGTTTATTTCTGATTCATCAGCCATTTTGTATATTTGCTTACTGACATTTGGGAAAAAAATATGCCCAATCCTTTTGCTCTCAGGAAGTTGTCTTATCTTCGTAGCACAAGTAGAATTTTTGTCTTGATTCAAGAGAACCTGGGAATTTGTAGATGTGCTCCTGGTTCTAATGTGCTGCTTGTTAAACCCTTCCTGTAAAGTGGGTGTTCAGTGGCTGCCCCAGGGCAGTGGGCTGGCAGGGAGCATGCCTGCCTGGGGGTGTCTGGCTCCCTATATTTTCTGTGAAATTCTGGGAAGCCAGCTTTGAAAGGACTGGTGGGGTGGGCATTTTAGCTGCTGTTTTTAACATGGCCAAAAAGCTTTGTAGGATGCAATCAGCTGTGATGTGAGGGTGACAGCCCTGGATAGGCTGCCCAGAGAGGTTGTGGAGCCTCCTTCTCTAGAGATCTTCCAAACCCACCTCGATGCTACCGTGTGCCACGTGCTCTAGGTGTCCCTGCTGGAACAGAGGGTTGGACTAGATCTCTAGAGGTCCCTTCCAACGTCAACCATTTTGTTCTACACGTAAAGAAGGCAGGTCAGCTTCTCCTACACAACTAGATCACTTTGACTTTCACCACAGTGAAATTCAGGAAGCATTGTCAATCATTTCTTTAGCCCATGTGCTCTTTGAAGCCTGATTATAGATTGGACACATTATATAGCAAGTAGGATCAGCTTGTAAATCTCAAATTTTTTTTTGGCATCACTGCTGCTAAATAATTGCATTAATTCCTTTCTGGTAAAGGCTGAGATAGCTTTGTACATAAAAATGCTGGAGAATTTTAAAATGAAAATTCAACTTTTATAGCAGAAAGGTATTTCTTCTGCTTCAAAAGTTATTGATAGTAACCAGCTGCAGTCTCAGTTTGGTTTGTGCAGTCAGTGAAGGAGTTCACTGCTAAAATCTGCTTCTGTCTCTGTGCTGAAGAGTGGGCACTGATGAGTCAGGATGACCTTGTTGTTTGCTGTAATAAAGTAAAAGCAAAACTCTTTTAAGCTAGAGTGGAAAATATGTTCATCTTCTGATTTTAAAGGAGGAAAGTGCTATAAACTTTGGAAATGTAAATGTAGAATTCTAACTTGCTTTTTCTTCCCTTCGTTCTGTAGGTATGGCCTCACAAGTCTTGGTCTATCCACCATATGTTTATCAAACCCAGTCAAGTGCCTTTTGTAGTGTGAAGAAACTCAAAGTAGAACCAAGCAGTTGTGTGTACCATGAAAGGACCTACCCACGGATCTATGTGAATGGTAAAAACTTTGGAATTTCTCCCCACAGGGTTAGTGCTTTCTTTCAGACTAAAAACCTATTTGACAGACCTCGAGGACAGAACTTCTTGTTGCAGTCAAATGCTGTCGCTTTAAAAAATATTGCAGGTGCTACAAAAGTGTTAGCAGCGCGGGCGCAGCAAGCTCAAGTAGAGGCACCTCAGACTGGGACCCAGGAGAGCAGGTTGGATACACTGGATGGACCCCAGCGATGTGGATTGAAGCGTAAGAGTGAAGAGCTGGATAACCAGATCAGCACGATGCAGATTGTGGATGAACTGTCCATATTGCCTGCAATGTTGCAAACCAATGTAGGAAACCCGGTGGCAGTTGTGACAACTGCTGCAGCTTCAAAGCAAAATGGTACCAGCGGCGATGGAGATTATCAGTTAGTACAGCATGAAGTCTTGTGCTCTGTGAAAAACACTTATGAAGTTCTTGATTTCCTTGGGCGAGGCACTTTTGGACAAGTAGTGAAGTGCTGGAAGAGGGGCACGAGTGAGATTGTGGCAATCAAAATCTTGAAGAATCATCCGTCTTATGCACGCCAAGGACAAATAGAAGTGAGCATATTAGCAAGACTAAGTACTGAAAATGCTGACGAGTTTAATTTTGTGAGAGCCTATGAATGCTTTCAGCATCGTAACCATACTTGCTTGGTTTTCGAGATGTTGGAACAGAACCTGTATGACTTCCTCAAACAAAACAAATTCAGCCCTCTGCAACTGAAAGTAATACGGCCTATTCTGCAACAGGTGGCCACTGCACTGAAAAAACTAAAAAGTCTTGGTTTAATCCATGCTGACCTCAAACCAGAGAACATTATGTTGGTGGATCCTGTCCGGCAGCCTTACCGAGTTAAAGTGATAGATTTTGGGTCTGCCAGCCATGTGTCGAAGACTATTTGTTCAACCTATTTACAGTCTCGGTATTATAGGTAGGTCTTTCACTTTGCTTCTATTAATGCTTAATGGAAGAAGGTTTTATGTGTTAAAGTTAATCGCTTGAAATAATTACCCTTCCAGACGTGAATATTAGATTTGAAAAAGTTAGGACTGTTTGAGAATATAGTTAATTCTAAAATTAAGTAGTTGATTACCATTTATAATGTGAATATTTGCTCTGAGTATTTTCAGTGTTGCCTTTTTTCTGGAAGTATGTTTTGTGTTGCTGTTCAGCCTATGTCATCATTTGCTGTTAGCAGGAATTGTCTGATGAGCCTTTTAAAAAAAACACAGCTTTCACTTAGTAATCTAATTGATGAAATATCTGCTTATCCAGATAACTTTTTTCCCTCCTCTGAGTAGCTAGAGAATGCACTGGAAGTGTGTTTCTATATCCTGTTCCCCAAAGTTATGGAAACCTTCTTGTTTTTCTCAATGCCTATTTTCCTTAGGTCTTAAAAATAAAAATTCTAATTGCGTGCCTTCAGCAGCTGTGAACTTCAAGAGTTATGAAATGATAATATACATAAGTGTTGTAGGTGATACCAGATGCCCTTTGCACATTTGAAATCATCTTGTATGTAGTTGCCTTCTATATTGGCCCCCAAACTAATTAATATTTCTGATTTTAAAGTCTTTTTCGTGTAGATATCCCATTTGTGTTATTTAAAAGCTTTTAATGTTTATTTGTGGGTTGTTCTTAATTGCTATATCTCAAATGCCTTTTTTCAGGCCTACTTCACATTAACTACTACATTTTGCAGGTTGTCTGTCTTTGCAAGTTAAGTTTAAAAAAAAAGAAAAAAAACCACTAGTAAACAAGGGTAGCAAGCAAGTAATTTTGAAAGGTTTTGTTTCTATTCATTGTTGGAGCTGAAAATGTGTGCAGTTCATATCCAAGCCTGATGGAATTGGGATGGTTAGTGCTCATGACAGCAGAACCTAATTCTTACTTGACTGTAGGTGGTAAATAGAGCATTTCGTGTATAGTGGCCCTATAAGTATTCTAATTAATCACCTGCATTGCCTTATTACTTAATTGCAGGCAACATAGTTTGTTCTGTACAGATTTGTATTTTTGCAGATGTTCAAGAGTGTCTCCTTTGCTTAAGCTGTTTTATTAAACAATGGCAGATTCTGGTGCTATTGCCATTCCCCTCAGCAAGAAAGGAGAAAGGCAGTGTTGCTGACCAGCCCACACAGGCTCCTGCTATAATAATTCCTGTGTGCTACTTTGAGTTTGGTTCCCCTCGTTCCATTGCAGAGGGCCCATCAGTTGCAGAATGGTTCTGTTAGTGTTTTGAGTGGTCTATTTATAAATGTTAGCTGTAGGATTGCTTTGATTGTGTATGGGTTCTGTAATACATATTGAGTGGAGATATATGAAAAGTAGTGTAAAATTATACACAATGTTTTCTGTAACTTTTGTCTTCATCTGAGAAAATGGTGGCATATGAAGCAAGCTGTGGTTTTGAAGTACTCTAAATAGTTTTGACCTAGTTGCTTAGAGAATGGGTCTCTTAGTGAGCTCCTTGCTTAAGTCCTCGTACTGTGTGTTAAACTTCCCTAGTCTTGTGCACACTAGACTATATGCTTTCCAAATATGCTTTCGAAAATATTTATGTATGTATTGTATTTTTCCTTCTCAAGAAGAAAAAAGACTTGGATATGTTGTCTGTCTTGTCTCAATGCTAGAACTTTACACAGAGAGGGAGTTGAACTTGTGCAAAGATTAAATGACATCCATCTATACTCATGGCAGATGCATCTATGCATCTAAAATTCCCAGTTACTAAGCTGCATTGAAGTGCCTTGCAAATATTTCTTCTCTTCGATAAAAGATCCCATTCTCTTACTCCTGGTAGTTTTAGAATCATTTTGTGAAGCAGCAAATTACTCAGCATTTTTACTAAAGAAAAAAGAGTATGGCAAGTTCGCCTGTTGGTTAGTGTTGAGGGTATATAAATAACTTCAGTATTTCATTTAAGTTGTGTCTTGGTTAGGACAAGTCTCCTAGTTGAGTGATTTAAATTCTGTGCAGCTTGTCATGCTGTTGGTCAGCATGCTGGTTTTACTCCTTTGGAAGCACCTGAATGGCATAAATATATCAAAGTAGGGATTTGATCCTGAAATTTTTCAAAATAGGTTTTGGGGGAAATTTGAGTAGAGAAGCCTTAGAAAGGAATGAAAAGGGTCTTTGGAGAATAGATCATTTTACTTTGACAGAGGTCATGCTTCTTGACAACCATATAAGGACCCGCTTCAAAAATATGACTAAATGGCCTGGTGTTAGTAAAGGGTGGGAGCGATGGTGCAGGTTTGACTTGTTTCATAACCAACACATAATAATGTGTTGGAACAAGTGTTTTAAAATGATCAGCAAGTGAGACATGGAAAACTCACTTTTAAGTTGTGCTGTTGATGTGTTTAGTCCATTTAAAAATCTAGTTAATGTTTTTCTGTTTAAAGTTTCAAACTAAATCCTATTGTGCTTGAAATGAAAATACATTTTAAAAAATGCCTGTTCTCAACATCCTGCTTAGCCTGGTTGAAGTTGTATTTCTGTCTAAAATGTTTTAGACTTGTTTATTTGCTGTTTATTTACTGCTACCAAGGGGTTCTGCCAGCCCCCTGAACTTCTCACCTTTTCTTCATGCTGCAACTACCTGAATGCTTCTGCCAGGAAAGGAGGACATGGGAGGGCCTATTCTTCCTGGTAGCAGTTTTAGCTTACAACAGTTCCTAGGTCACTTATGCCATGTTCCTTCTCAAAAGTAGGGTTCAGGGTTTCTGTACTGAAAGAATATGCCCTGCTGTGTGTGTAGAAGGGCATGCTGAATACTCCAGAGAAGTCCAGGGAAGGGTTTGGCATAAGGGAATAAAGAAGTAGCTCTTCATAGCTCAATGCCACTGTCTCTTTAACTTGTTTCTGGAACTACTGTGAATAGAGAATGATTGCAATGGAAAATGCCCTTAAGTCTGTTGCAGTGTCTGAATGGTAATATCAGTGTCTTAGATCTGTAAGAGGAAGTTCAAGTTGGGAAAACAAGCAATAACACAAAGCTTTGACTTAAGGCAATGAATATATGTGAATACCTATTCATGGACAGTGGAGAGACTTAAATTTCACTTGATCCCAGCCTGTAACAGAAAAAGCAAAATGATGCTAATGACAGAAGATGTTAAGATACTTTAATGTGAGGAGAGACCATGGGGAGTGAGCCTACTTAGTTTGGAAAGGATATGGAGGAGAAGAAAAATAGAGACAAAACAATGTCTTGATGTTTCTCTCTTTTTGTTTCAGCTTTTTGAAGCAAAAAGAAAGAACGGTTAAAATGAATATAAAAATACTTTTTGACATTTCATTCCACTTTGAAAATGATAACTTTGCTGTTATGTATTGCTAGAAATCAAATTATTTCCGTGGTAAAATGAAGAGTAGTTACTAGATATGATTGAATATTTTCTGCAGTATATTGTCTTAACTCATGTGTTTTTTTTAAGCTGAAGTATTGAGTACTCTTTTCCTAGAAAGATGGTGTCTGTGCTTGCGTTCTGTTTTTATGCTGGTCTGGATTTTAGTATTTGTTGTATAGAGGGATTTTGTGTATGAAGCTTTTTCTTTGTGGATGGTCTCACATGTTATATGTGTTTTGACCTTTTGAGGGATGTAAGAAGGTAAGCAAGCAGGCTGTATATATATTTTTTGTAAAGAAAAAGATCCTGTTGAATGCAATGTAGGTGATTAAGCTTTTGTCACATTGTCATGTATGGTATGAAAAGTGTATAGTTTTTTCTTGGGCATCTGTGCCCTGAATCAAGAGAATAGTTGTTACATCCGAGATGAAAAGCTCCCTTTTCTCCTTCGTGTGTAGCATGGGCTGGAAGGTAGGGGAGGCAGTGGCTGGCTTGTATTCCTGAGGCTCTGGCTGCTTGCTCTTGCACGGGGAGTCAGGAAGGCCTCCTCAGGAAGGGTGTGCTCCCTTCACTGGCACTTATTTCCCTTTCGCTCGTATTTCTGATGGTGGGATTTTATATATGTGTGTATATGTATCACACAGGTGTATATATTATGTATGTATACACATATATGCATATATTAAAAAAATGCTGTGAATGGCAGACTGCCAGGAGCAGTGACCTACCAAAGGGCTGAGTGGTATAAAGCAGTGGAGGTTTTTGTACTGATCTGCCCCAGAGAGCCTAGTTGGGTTTCTTCTGCAGAGCTCCTCTTGTCACAAAAAGAGCTTGTGTGCAGCCTTTTATGTTTTGTGTTAGCAGGTAGCTTTTAGATCTGTTTTCATAGCACATCTCTGCTTTCTTCTGGTGTCTTCTCCAAAATTTTTTTTCCAGACAAACTCCTATTCAAGGGTTTTTCCTTTTTGAAATAGTCACATGTACCCTAAATAATTAGGGAGTTCTGTTTTAATCATCTAGTGACCAGATAGCCTCCAGAGATATCTTTTCCACTTAGGAACTTCAAAGGGGTTCCCTGTTGTTGGGCATCATGTTCAACCTTTGTGCAAAGGGAGCTGTTGTGTAAAACTTCATCTAAAAGGTACACAGATCCATCTGATGACAAAATCTTTGTACTAGGGTTTGATAATGCATAAGCATCTTGCTACTTCATGATTTTGATTCTCCCACTTGTTGCTTGTAACACTGGTTGAGTTTATAAAGCACATTTTGATATTTGCATCACATGGCAAGCATAGATGTGTATTAAAAGGCCTGGGTGAGCTCCTGAACCTGTGCTAGGTTCTTGGATTACTCAAGTGATGCTTTCAGAATGAAAGGTTCTTGATTATAAGATGTTCCTCACAGCCTGGAAATGTTTTCCTGCTCTGTTGACGACAGCAATAACATGCGGTGCTGGTTTATTCAACAATGTGCCCACAAGGAAAAGCAAGTGCTTGGGTAGATGAACTAAGTGGGAGTTAACTCATTCCTGCATCAGTCAATGATATCCTTCCTCCTGCCTTCCAGCTAAGGA